GGCACGAAGGGCGTATTTGTTTGAACAGATGATTCACCAGTAGATCTGACTTGTTAAAGAATAAGAAAACACTTAAATGACTTTCTTTCAAACATTTCTTACAAGAATTTGATCAAACTTGACAGAAAACAACCTGGCATGAACAGTTTTCAAATTTATACAAATAATGTGTCAGATTGGGTCAGATTCTATTGAAAAGTTTCAAAGAAATAGTTTGAAGGCTTTTCTTTGTTTATTAATATCAGATATAGTTGATGGTGGATTTCAATTTTGGTTTGAAGAACTTTCAGTTTTATATAAATGATGCTGATCTACCATTAAAAATATGACTGCCTTTACTAATAATTGATACCCTTAAATGATATATTATAAAAATCTGCTTTTAAATATGGCTGTTGTTATGAAGATAGTCTATTCAGATGCTACACAGAGTTGGAAATTTTTTCTACAGATTGCATCCTGCATAAAAAAACTTTCTGTATTGGACAGATGCTGCTGATGTACCATCAAATGAAGATACAGAAAAATAGAAATGCCTTGAAGAACAATTTCCTAACCAGTACTGTCAACACCATTAGAACTAATTCTTTCAAAACATCCTATTAATCCAAATTTCTTGGCTAACTGCTCTGGCATTTGGCAGTTAGTAAGGTGAATGACCTCAGACTAAATTGGGCCTTTTGTAGTTTAGTTAGTCCTTATTCATTGATGGTCTTAAATCAGTGATTTTGATGGAAGTGTTGTGTATATGTATAATGTCTTTGAGATCTATATTTGGAGTAATGTTTTTGTTTAAGAGTTTAATGTGACTTATGTTTTTCTTCCACATGAAATGTAAATTTAGCTGAGGGTTGAACATGGACTTGAATGTTATTCTGCGATCCCTTGTAAATGAAAACATTAAAGTACTTTAAATCAGAAATGGTACATTTGATAATATATATATTTCATAATTCAGTATTTTCACTTCTTGATTCTTCTCTCTCTACACTCAGAAGATTTTATATGTTACTTTATAAAATATAATTGGTAAGAAAATTTAAAAAAGGAAAAAAAATGTATGTTTTTAAATAAAAATCTTCACATTTCAAATGATTTAATTGAGAAGCATGTTTGAATTATGCATTTATGGAGTATATATATTTATACTGAAAATATGTTTGAGACATCTGTATGAAAAACCTTTTAGAAATTTGGGTTTTCCAGTAATGTCAAAATGGAAACATCTAGTAACCACAAGAGACATCTCTGTTCATTTACAGATATCAATTGTAGACTAGCTATTTAAATTAGCCGTTTCTGCTAACAATGTCAATAAATTAACCATGTCTGCTGACAATGTCAATAAATTTGCAATGTGTACTGACAAACAATTTCAATCAATTAGCCATGTCTTCTGACAATTTCAAAAAATTAACCCCATCTACTGACAGTTTCAATTAATTGGCCATGTCTGCTGACAATTTCAATTAATTAGCCATGTCTACTGAAAATTTCAGTTAATTGGCCATGTATGCTGATCATTTGTCAAGATCAGTTGACATTGTAATCAGCTTACTAAAGTTAAACATCTTCATAAAAGTCACAATATCACAATGTTTCATACCGGAAACATTAGCAATTAAATTAAACTTTATGTGATGAATGTAGCTGCAAAGTTTTAAAAACTAATTACTACTAGTTTACTTTTCTGTCAGCTTACCTCTTAAATAAAATCAGTTACCCAGCCCCTCTTTCCCCATATCCTTAAGTGGTAAGTTAATGGTAAAAGTTTTCAGAAATAGTTTCTTGTTCAATAGTACCTAGTGGACAGACTTTTAGGCAGATCTGGCCCCATCATCACAAACCGTTCCTCAACATTTCAGATAATGTCACTGTTAATCCTACATGATATTGTCAGTATTAATCTAGTATGATAATCAAGTATAGTGTTTTACTTGGACTGAATATTTTGAGCAAGTTTTGAAGTCGAGAAAAGACTTATGATGGAAAGCCAGATTACTGTTGCCTTGTGTTGTGCGATGGACACTGTCTAGACAAGTCTTGAAAGGGCTGTCCTTCTGTCTGTCTGTCTGTCTGTCTACTTATCTACCAGCAACATTGATTTACTGGGAACAAATAATGCCTGATGACATAATCATAAAATTTCTGAGTCATTTCTGTGGCTTAATAACATTGTGTCATCACACTGTTTGAATGTGGCTGTCATCACAAAATCTCACTTCAAACTGGTCATATTGGAAAGAGACTTATTATATATGCTTGCCTATAAGTTGGATTCAGCTGCAAGCAACATAAGGGTCATTGTTGTTTGTTTTACTGATTAATCATAACAAACTATGTAGATTTGTCATATATGTAGTGGCAGATTAGCAATTGAACCCAGCTAGTAGCAAATTTGGATAATAGCAGATTTGAATTTCAGTTAATGATCTAAGTCACAACTTTTGCTCCCCCCCCCCCTTGACATTGCCGTCATATCTTACACAGTTGCCTCAGCAAGGAGAAAGTCCTATGGGGTAGAATCATGAAATTCAGATCGGTAATCAACACAACCACTATTATGACTATGTAAATAGTCCACACCATAGTTTTTGACCATGACAAGTACATGCATATTTTGTACTAATGAGAGGCACAATCTTTGAAGGTTGTTGTTGTTGTAGAGTTTAATGCCATTTTTCAGCACAAGATAGGCTTTACATGGCAGCCAGTATTAATGGTGGAAGAAGAACCCTAGAAAACCCTGGGAAGAAACACCAACCAAGAGAAGCTACTGACAGGCTTTCTCACTTACCCATGTTAGCCAAATCTGGACTCGAACTCACGCAGACAGAGGTGAGATGGCAGTGATCCATAATGGTCAGCGCTTTAGACCACTTGGCCACTTGGGGCCCTCTTTGAAGGTTGTAGATGTAAGTGCAGGCTGATCGTTATTTGTTTTAAATACAGCATGTACTGGTACTTGATTAGGGATGTATTCTGGGGAAGGTTTGTGTGTGCATTAAATATAGTTTTAAAAAGGTAAACAAGACTTGATCAAGAAATATATTATTATTGTCTGTCACTCTCTCCAAGCGAATGTATACATCTGTTAAATACAAAGTGGATATTCAGCAGTGTGAAAGCTACTGAAATCATTGATTGGTGGCCAGCTGGAAAACCCTGGGAAGAAACACCAACAACAAGAAGCAACTGACAGGCTTTCTCACTACTGAAATCATTGACTGGTGGCCAGCTCACAAATACTTAAGGGTCCTTAAAAATTATTATCCAAGACTCTGCATGCTTATCATTACACAGGAGTATGTATATAATGAGCCATGGAATAGTAATTCAAAATTGCTTAGCTTTCACATTGGCGTGGTATAGGGAGGATGCACACCAATTGTTTTTCCATCAGTATGAATTCTTTTCTTTACTTGCTATGTACAGCTGTATGTGGTGGCAATGTTAGTTTATGTGTTATACTGCTGATCAAAGTATTGTAGGTTTGACTCATTGGCAGAAAATATGTTTTTCAAGATATCAAAGCTCAGGTTCAGTGTACATTTAAAATGAAAGTCAGTCTGACAATAGCCGGTCAGTTACAATTATGCATAATTATTTTAGACATACTTGGATTGAACAACCTCTGGGCCATCCATTATGTCATACAGGGTCTCAAACTGCTATAATTGATATGGATTATATGCATTGGTAGCAAGGCTATAATATTAAAAATACCAGTTCGCACATACAACCCGAGTTGAGACATTTTCTTTTATTTAAACAAAAACCTGCTGTGGTGCATGCATAATGGTGAAAAATGCACAAACTCGTGCATATAGATTTTTTTAAAGGATTTATGAGTTTATCTAATGTTGTCATATTACCAAGCCATTGCAGTATTTCTAATATTTCATAAAGATTAAATGATTATTTTGCATAAATTCTTCGTACAGAATTGTCAAAGATTTGCAAAAGAGTATGATTCTTCAAATACGTATTCAGAGTATCTGAATTAAATTAATTGACTTAGAAATTATGGTGGAAACTCAATGATGTAAACTTGACACAGAATAGAATGAAAAGAATGAAAAGTCATTGTTTGGTATTTTAAAAAGTTTTCTATTTACATTGCCCAAGTCGCCAGTGAGTGACCCTGTCGACAAAGAATACGTCAACAGGCATAATGAATATAGCAATTAGATAGATACTTTCAGTACTAACATAATGGTTACCAATGGGCAAGACTTTATGAACCCCTTTCCAAGTGTAGAGAAGCTAAAACCATAGCTAAGATACACAAACAATCCAAAATGTTTTAAATTATTCGATTTTAACACTGCGGCATGATGCCCCCAATGCTAAACATGCAGCGATATGACTGAAATTTTTTAAAATGCTACGTTAAAAATCCAAATCTCTCACACACATACATATAAACACACACACACTATAAATTGACACTGCAGACATTGTAGCGATATGACTGAAAAAAAATTGCTAAAGCTATCTTAAAATTCCAAATCTCTCTCTCTCTCACACACACACACACACACACACACATACATACATACATACATACATACATACATACATACATACATACATACATACATACATACAGAGTATTGCTGACTATGCAAAATAAAAAGGTATGTGTGGTTCTGGTTACCCTCATAGAGTATTGCTGATTAGGCCAAATTAAAAGGTATGGTTACCCTCAGAGTATTTCGAATTAGGCCAAATAAAAAGGTATGTGTGGTTCTGGTTACCCTCGTAGAGTATTGCGGATTAGGCCAAATTAAAAGGTATATGTGGTTCTGGTTACCCGATTAATCATAATTTTTTTACTGCCAACCCTACATTTTATTTTATGAAATGATATAATAGGAAAATACAAAACAAAATCAGAGAAAGAAAATATTTGACAAAGGGATATAACTATGATCAAAGTTAATTTCCAATTGCGAACAAGTCTTATTTTCCAGTTTATGCTTTTCAAATCCGTCTTGGACCGCTCTGGTGGCTTAGTGGTTAGAGCGTCGGCCTCAGATGCGAGAGGTCGTGGGTTCGATCCTCGGCCGAGTCATACCAAAGGCTTTTTTTTAAAAAAATGGTACTAACAGCTGCCTCGCTTGGCGCTTAGTGTTAGGACTGGTCGGCCTGGTGTCAGGATAATGTGACTGTGTGAGACATCATGCCACATATCTGCGACATAATGACCCAGTGCTAAACATCACTATAAACTGTCACACTGCAGACGTAGTGATATGACTCATATGTGTGGTTGTATATGCAATTTTCGGAATAACCTCTGCAGCCACCGTTGGTTTGAGAGTGACAGGAATCATGACTAAGGTAACCATTATAGGTACCCTAATTGGAATTGCTTTTGGAGCATATCAGGCGTAATTGGCATGACTGGCGATGCTGATGAAATAATCTCGTCATCGCTGCAATTAAGAATACTTGTCTACTTAGACCTTTTCTTGGTCATAATACAATTAATAAACTCTATTCGTTGGCTGTGATATTATAATAGCAGTATAATAGCGAGTTCGATATTGTGTTGGCGGAAATGGAAAACTACCGGCGTATCTGAACAGATAAACAGAACTAAAGTTAAAATCTACTCTTATTTGTATGGGCGGCCGTTTTTACATATATTCAATTCAATACAGACCTCTTGATTTATTTAAAATGGTCTCTAATTCTATTAGAGACCTCTACAGTATCATTAGAGCTATATATTGAAATTTAGAGCTTTCTAATACAATTAAAGATCTTAATTAATAATTATTGACATCCACAATTGAATTAAAGACCTCTCTTATTGAATTGTAAACTTCTAAAAATGAATAAGACAGCTCTTTAATTCATTGGCGGAGCTCTGTAATAGAAGGAAAGATCTCTCTATTTTGGCATCAGTTCAACAAATCCATACAAAACAGTATGCATCCTTAAATGAATTAGTGACCTATGTAATTAATTTATGGATCTCTCTTATTAATTTGATGAGATCTCTAAATTGTGTTTTAAGGCGTCTAAAACCTAACATTCTTAAAACGATATAATAACTTCACTCTGTAAATTCTTGTTGAAAGTGCACGCATGCGTAGTAGGTTCACGCTTTGAACCAAAATGACTGCATAACAAGAAACAAAATCGCGAGACAAAAATCAATATTCCAGATATTGATAACAAATATAAGCTCGAAACAATGTAACAATGTAACAACTGACAAATATTACTTTGAAAGTTTTATAATGTGTCTTTGAAGGGTCCGTTAATATAGAGAACAAATTAATGAATGTTCTGATCGTGATTATCAAAGTATTCCGGCGTTTGTTGATAAGTTTTGTTTGATCGTCTACTTTGCAAAGGATTATCGAAACATTTAATCATTTGGTTGACAGCCACACACACTTAATCATTTTATATTAAACTATGAATATTCTGAGTTGTGAATACCTTATCTCAGAAAAAGGGTATTCACAACTCAGTACTGGGATGAAGGTGTGGTGCATCAGGACATGAGAGACGCCAACATCATAACTCTGTATAAGAACAAGGGCGACAGAAGTGGCTGCAACAACTACAGGGGCATATCACTTCTCAGCATCGTGGGTAAAGGCTTCGCTAGAGTCATCCTGAACAGACTGCAGACGCTTGCCGACAGAGTGTATCCAGAGTCTCAGTGTGGGTTCCGCGCAGAGAGGTCCACAATCGACATGTTCTTCTCCATCAGGCAACTGCAGAAGTGCAAGGAACAACACAGACCCCTCTTCCTGGCTTTTATAGACCTCACCAAAGCATTCGATCTGGTCAGCAGAGACGGACTCTTTAAAATCCTAACGAAGATTGGATGCCCTCCAAAGCTGTTAAGCATGGTCCAGTCCTTCCATGAAGACATGAAAGGCACAGTGCAGTATGATGGCTCATCGTCCGAACCATTCAACATCCACAGCGGAGTGAAACAAGGCTGTGTCATTGCCCCAACGCTCTTTGGCATCTTCTTCGCTGTCCTGCTTAACTACGCCTTTGGGACGTCTACAGAAGGGATCTACCTGCAAACGCGTTCAGACGGCAGACTGTTCAACCTGGCACGACTGAAGCAATGAGCAAAGTAAGGAAAGCAACCATTAGGGACATGCTCTTTGCAGATGATGCTACTAGAGTCACTCACACAGAAGCTGAACTACAACGCCTGATGGACCGCTTTGCTAAAGCATGTGATAAATTCGGGTTGACCATCAGCCTAAAGAAAGCCAACGTGATGGCTCAGGACGCAGACCCTCCTAGCATAATCATCAACAACTACAAACTAGAAGTAGTCAGTGAGTTCACGTACCTTGGCTCTACCATCACCAACAATCTCTCACTCGATGCCGAGCTCAACAAGCGGATTGGAAAGGCGTCAACAACACTCTCTAGATTGTCGCAGAGAGTGTGCAACAACAGCAAGCTGACATTGAACACTAAGATCTCTGTGTACCGTGCCTGCGTGCTTAGCACTCTCCTGTACGCCAGCGAAACTTGGACCCTGTACGCCTCTCAGGAGAAACAACTGAGTGCCTTTCACATGCGTTGTCTCCGTCGCATACTCGGGATCACTTGGAGCGATCGTATGACAAACGAGGTGCTTCAACAATCCAAAATTCTCAGCATGGTCACACTCCTCCGCCAACGTCGCATTAGATGGTTTGACCATGTGCGTCGAATGGATGATGGACGGATACCCAAAGACCTTCTCTACTCTAAGCTTGTCTCCAGCAGAAGATCAATCGGACGGCCACATCTTCGCTTCAAGGATATCTGCTAGCACGATACGAAAGCTCTTGGGATTGAGGTCAACACCTGGGAAGAGCTTGCTCTCAATAAGTCCAGCTGGCGACATGCTTTATTCACAGGTCTGAAAGCAAGCGAAGAAAACTTACGACAGCTCGCCGATGAGAAAAGATCTCAGAGGAAGAGGATGCAGTTAGTAGTGAAGAGGGGCGATATAGCGACAATGGGAGTTATCATTAAAAACCAGCGTGGGGTAATATAGCGACAAGATTTTTGGCGACAAATGGCACAGCGTGGGGTAATATAGCGACAAGGGGAATTTTGTATTAGCACACCCTGGGTCTGTATAGCGACAAGAGAAATGGCCCCAGGTAGCATGACGTCACGGTACTGAACACTTGTCAACAGTGTAGCAATGTGTAAGTACTGTGACGTCAAGCATTTGTCAAGTACTGTGACATCAAGCGTTCGTCGTGTTAGTGAATGTAGTGAAATGTATGTTTTATAACTTATACAGGCAATTTGTTATGGAAAAGTATAATCTTTTCGAGGTATGAAAAGTGGCCCTGAAAAGGGCCGTTGTTTATGATGTTAACATCATGCCGTTAACATACAGGACATCGCATTGCTTTTTTCTTTCTCAAAGCTTGTCTTAAACTGCATCTCACTTCTTGTCCGAAGATGAGAGTCCGCTTCAAACAGCCTTGTCTTTCCACATAACATCTTCTTTTCCAAACAGTGGCACCTTTAATCCAGCAGCAGGGAGGGTGAACCCTACAAATTTTTGCGACAAAATCGATTAAAGCCTCAGAATGCCAAATGGAGCCTTCCTACGAAATCTCATATTTTAACCAAAAACAAAATTAAAGGCCCCATTTTACAAATGGAGCCTTAGCGATTTTGTCGCAAATACATTGTCATAACCATCCTCAAATTGCTGCCATCTACGTCTACAAATTTTTGCGACAAAATCGATTAAAGCCTCAGAATGCCAAATGGAACCTTCCTACGAAATCTCATATTTTAACCAAAAAAAATTAAAGACCCCATTTTACAAATGGAGCCTTAGCGATTTTGTCGCAAATACATTGTCATAACCACCCTCAAATTGCTGCCATCTACGGTCGCAAATATGTTGTCATTTCACCCTCCCTGCTGCTGATTAATACAAATTATTTGTTAGCTTTTCACAAACAGACTAATCGATAATACTTCACCACGTAGATCAATCAAATTATTTGACTGATCGGTGAGTGTAAAATTAATTCTAGTTAGTAAATCATTTTGACATTGCATATAGACTGGATTAGTCGGATTTTCAACAATTAAAAATCCGGGGGGGGTGCTGTTGGTGCAAATGAATAAAGAATGTAACCTTGTCGGGCTTGATTTGATTGTTCCATATTAATTTGATAACTTCCTTCGATTACATCACACGTTAAATTAAGTGCGATCACCGATGAAATATTCACATTGTTCGGTGCGATATGTCTACCGTCGCCGTTTTGAGAATTATTGTGAGTTAATATAGTTGGTTTGGGTTGTTTTTTTTTCCCATTCGTCATGAATTATTCTGAATCCCTCGTCGATGGCCGCTCTGAGATTTTTCTTCAATTCTGGTACATTATATCCTGGTAGTTTAAACGTTGGAATATCTTCAACGGGGATTTTATATTTCTCTGCAAAAAATTTACTTAATTCAGGATCATCTGCTATTTCTTGAATGTTTCGAGAATGATATTTTTCTGCGTCATCGATAATTTTATTACATGTAGCTACCACGCTGATGAATTCGTCTTTAGTGAGAGAACCGGATCTTAGAGATACTAGCAGTAATGAAAGATCATTATTTATCGCTGTGAATCTATCAGTAATACGACGTTCATCTAACTCCTCATTAAAGTTTTCATTCAACTCTTTTTTCAATTTCTCCTTCACCTTTTCATCCCTCTCTTCCTTTAATTTCCTCACCCTCTCCTTTATGATCTTAGAAAAAATACTAGCCGCGACTCCCCCGATCGCCTTGCTAAAGAGATCAGAAGATGTATTCCTGCGATTTCTATTACTTTCTACTGGATTTTCAGGTCCTATTTCATCAGTGACATAATCAGATTTTACAGGCTCGGGCGTGGAATTACCAGCACTTCTACGTGGATCTTCGGGCCATCCTAATACTGTTCTTATTGAACTGTTATAAATATCTACAACATACCCAGGAGAGCCTATTTCAATTGTAGATGATAGTGTTGGTTCATGAACTGTTATCGCAATTTTTGATTCTTTTTTAGTAATGGATTTTAT